ATCAAGCCATTTTTTTTTTTATTCCTTACTCTTTCCTTGTAATGTACCTCTTAATAGCAGGGCAGAATTAGCAAGCCAGATTCCTCTCCTCCTTCTGCCTTTTCCTGGCACCCACAAAATATGCAAAAATAAAAATGCATATTTTGGTCTCTCTTAAGGGTTTGTCAAACATCTCCAAAGGGGATCCTCCTTTGTGTCCATTCCTTTGGTGGTGGACTTGATGCCCCTGGCAGCCTCTGACAGAAGTTCATAGGCAAAGAAAACTGTTTTCCACCAGTACAAAGGAAGCAAGCAATCTTCCTGCTATCTATTCACCATTTTATTGTTCAATATGTTTTATAGTCTGTGTCACTTTGTATTAATTATTTATGGTTTTTTTTTTTGTCTTTTCTGCTCCACCCAGAATCATACTGTTTAAGTTGGGCAGCCATATAAATGCATTGTCCACCTGGGCCACATGGTCTTCTCAGACTCCGGTCATATAATCAAACCTAACTACAGAACTGCTGCTACTTCCCTCATAAATTGTTAGCCTACATGTATAGTTAATGCTTATTTTAATAATCTACCACAGTGTTCCTCAACCTTGGCAGCTTGAAGATGTGTGGACTTGTCTAATTATGCTGGCTGGGGAATTCTGGGAGCTGAAGTCCACACATCTTCAAGCTGCCAAGGTTGAGGAACACTGATCTACAGGACAATTAGTCACATATCTTTGACAGAGGCATCAATGGTAAAAGAGAGATAATTTGGAGAATGAAAATAGCCAGATGTAGCCGCTTCTGGAAGACCACTATGGAAAATATAGAAGTAAATGGCTTGTTAAGGGTTTCTTTTTTCCTTTTGTCATTAAAAATGCAATCCAAATAGTGGTGTTCCTCAATGTAATTATTTCCAAGAAGGTAACAAAAACCATGATGCCGAAGACTTATTTTCAGAAAAAGGTGAGCAGCCTCTCATAAAAAATGGACACCTACCTCTTCAAGAGTTTCATCTTGGGGTGTAGCTGCACTGTCATCAGAGTCCTTCTGAGAGCCGGTATCAGCACTTTTGCGGACCTCACGACTCTTCTTATGTTTGTGGGCCAGTTTCTTTACATGGCCATCTGCCTTTCCACTGCTAAGTCGCCTCACTGGGCTAGTGAGCCACTTCCTCAGGGTATTGCCTGGGCGTTTAGGACCTGGGGAGCTTTGTGCACCAATTGTATGGGGCTGGAGTGACGTTACTGATGCAGGGGGACTCGCATCATTGCTGGAAACTGAAAGAGAATCTGAAAAGGAGAAAAACAATGAAGATACAAGAAAAACAATGGCTGGGGGAATAACTGTTTTACAAAACACACTCATTCCTAAAGCAAGTAAAAAAAAAAAAGTATGAGCTCTCACTATAATCATTGTGAATATATAAGCTTTATATGAATACTAGTTCATATACATATTGCATACTTTTGCTATACTAAACATTCCTTAGTTGATGTATTAGCTAGCAACCAGATGGCTCATAAGTAATGTTCCCTATATCTACTGCAGGAATGCTTCACATGTTTTTTCTTGTTTCTTTAACTATTTTACATGTTTTTTCTTGTTTCTTTAACTATTTTAAGCTTTATATGAATACTAGTTCATATACATATTGCATACTTTTGCTATACTAAACATTCCTTAGTTGATGTATTAGCTAGCAACCAGATGGCTCATAAGTAATGTTCCCTATATCTAATGCAGGAATGCTTCTAACTTATGGTGAAATGATCTTATATGCCATCCTTAAAACACAATTATCTGATTTCCTTTTTTTTTTAATATAATTTTTATTAAGAATTTTTACATAAGTAAAAGGGAAATGAAAAGAAAAAATATGGAAGAATAGAAAGAAAAAAAAGAAAGTGCAAAAACTAAAGCAGAATAAGAAAGAAAAATAGTTAAAGAAACAAGAAAAAACATGTGACTTCCAACCTTCTTTTCAACAATTATGAGCAAATTCATTATCCTCCCTCCCTCCCTCAGTATTACAAAAATCTCTTATTTAGTCCTTTTTCAATCATCAAAACCATAAATCATCACTTTTTTCCATTTTCATCCAAAAGTCTATAAAAGGTTTCTAGTCTTTTATAAAAGTACTTGTTCTATCCCTGACCAAACAGGTCAGTTTTGCCACTTCTGCCACTTCTGATATCTTTACAATTCATTCCTCCATTGTGGGAATTTTAGTATTCCTCTGCGCAACAATTCCCTGATTTCCAAGGAATATTTCTCCTTTATAGTTATGCAATAGTTCAAGGCTTGTGGGAATGACAAGGATTTTATAAATTAATGCAAAATAATTCCATGTGATTGGTATAGGACTGCATGTATCAGTGGTGCACCAGCAACAACCTGATGTGCAGATAGTCCTAGAACCTCATTTGTACAGCAGCAACAACAAAATACAGAGCAAGTAATTTTATTTCTGACTACAGATAGGAGGCTCATATATCTGAACGCTCTTCCACTAAATATTTGTTTTACTCCTTTCACACACATAGGGTTATCCTTTGAAAGAGTAAGGTTGCAACTTAGCTTCTCACATGGATCAACATGATGCAAATAAACAAGGCTGCTTGCATTCTATACCGCTCCATGATAATTTTGTATATCAGCTATCCCAATCATGCCACTGGTAGAACTCTATAAAACTGTCTGTGTGTGTGTGTGTGTACAATTCATCGCACTTTTTAGAATGTCTTCATTATTAATTATTTGCATTTACATTAGTCACAGGGAAGGAAAAGCCACTAGAATCACACTTCAACAGCTTTTCATACTTCTATCCTTTATCTTTACATTGCTACGATTCATTTTCTTCCAAGATGAATTATATGCTGAATGCCACATTTCATGGCAGAGATGGGAAATCCTTTGGAAAACTACAACTCGCAGTAGTCACAGCCAACGTAGCCAAAGCTGAAAGATACCTGCTTTAGAGAAACACAGGTTTCATGCTGAAGAATCTTGGTGTACATGCACAAACAAAATACTCCAGCTATAAAGCTCTCAAGATAAAAATGTGATAGACCTCACTGTCAAAGGACAGGAATGGAAGATGGAGAAAATGATGTTGCTATACTATGAAAATACGCCTGAATTGTTATATGCTGTTCCTGCATTTATTTTAACATTTAGTGAGGCCTGGGGGAGATATTCATTGACTATTCTCCCAACAGCAAGATAATAAACATTTATCCCTCTTGTTAAGTCTTTGCATTTAACTAGCTAAGCCAAGCCAAGAATATTGTCCAAATTTGTAACGCGATTAAACAATGCAGACACCAGATGAGTGTTTGGGACTTTCCTATCAATTTTTCAGATGACTCAAGGATGTACTTTTGTTTAGACTATCCATAAAACCCTCCAAGGGATAATTTGCTGCTGTCTCCTCTGGCTTGAAAGACAGCTCCATATGCGTCTCTGTGAATGGAGGTCAAAGTTCATAGAAAGTCCATACACATTAAAAAAAAAGAAAAAAAAAAAAGAAGGGAAGGCAGAATAGTTAAGCTACAACAAAAACAAATAACGAAAGCCCCTTTTCCAGCCAAGCTAAAGATTACTGCTCATTCTCAACTAAGAAATATGACCCTGCTTATCTGTGATTGTTGCCTTTGATTTTTTAAAAACCAATCATGCCTTGGTACTTGATGTTTCAAAAGCAGCTGCTTACATTTCTTGGTTGAGTTCCAACCAACTTAAGCTGAGGCCAGAAGTTACTAGGGAATCTATCTTTAATTGTGGAACTGTAGGAGCCAATGAAATAATTACAATTTTTTTCACAACTGAACAGTTCTTACTCCAGAACATCAGACATAAGCATTCCTTCTAAAAATTACACAATACTTCTATTCCAATAAATCTGTGATAAGATCAATCTTGCAATTTAGTGAAAATGAGGAAGTCTATTTTATTATTAGGAATCATTATGAGGAAGCATTTTTGTTTTAATTTTTTATATAGAAATATTTATTATTCCTTAACAATGGACCTTGGAGAAAAAGAGGTTTATTATGAAGAAACTGCCAATTTAGAAGCAATGTGCTTCTTACAAGAACTCAGCAAATTCCTTTGTTTTAATGTGATATACCTTCTACATGAGTACATGCAGAGATTAAACATATTAAAGATATTCCATTCATCATATGTATCTGTTTTTCTTTATTTAGAGGATACCATGAAAGAAAATTAAATTTAAACATGTTTTACATAAGGAGCACTGGGGAATTACATGAGTACCATGATACATCAATGTAAGGGCATGATTGAGTACCTTTACTTTTACTTCTTTCCTTCAGGGTAAACTGATGGCTTCACGCACATATACAGAAATGTGTGCCTTCTTCCAGAATTTTTTTTTTACTTGTTTAGCCTACAGCCCTGGTATTCCCCAACAAGTCTCCCAGCAAGTACTAACCATGCACAATGGTGTTTAGCTTCTGAGCCCAGCAAAAGTCATATAAGTAACATCACCTCCTGAGGTTCTTTATTTAGGTGGTGAGAAGCGTCAAGTATCCAAAATTTCCTAAGTCTGCATACTATATAATAATGCAATATCACCTCTAAGAAAGCAAATTAGAATGAGTTTAGTTTAAATCTACTGATTATGAATTTACCAGGTCACTATAATCACACTATTAAACTCCCATTTTCTATCATGAAGAGAATATCAGTAAATCTCAAAACTATAACACAGATTATACAGTTGATATAAAAAGCACTTTGAAAATTCTGAACTGTGTAAGTTTGTGTGCAAGCATGTGCACGTGTGTGTATGATGTTACATGAACAACACAATAGACAATAGTTGTTCATATATATGAATTCTTTGTTCAGATTTTCTATATGGAGGTTCAATTGATGCAAGAAATTATTGCATCTGAAGTCTCTCACAGTTAAATAGCGTTAAGAGTTGGAGAAAGTGTTGGACCGAACCCAATCTGAAGTCATTTCCTTTCTTGTTGACATGGGAAGCAGGCCACTTTCTAACTCACTCGGAACGGGCTTTTTAGGCTAAGCTGAAATAACATTAAATTAACTGACATTGTTAACTTGAAATCCAGAGGTGTTCACCCATGTCTTTATCCCACTGCAACATTTTCTCTCCTTCGCAGAGTCATTAATAACCTTTGAACAAAAATGCACTACATGGTATGGTATGGTATGGTATGGTATGGTATGGTCCCCTACCCTTCTGGCCTTTAGGAAAGGCCTGAAGACATGGCTATGCCACCGTGCTTGGGGGTCTGGCAGCAGTGGTGAGCCTTTCCAATGATTATACAGGTAGTCCTTGACTTACGATGACAACTGGGACTGGAATTTCCATCGCTAAGCAATGTGGTTGTAAAGTGTGACTGCATCGTTTAGCAACAGCAATCCCTGCAATCCCAGTTGCCGTCAATAACGGAATCCCACAGTTGTTAGGCGAGGCAACTTCCTGCTGGATTCCCACAACCAAAGTCAGTGGGGAAGCTGGCAGGAAGTTGCAAGTCCCAGGCTAACAGGCAGGTAAGTGGCTATTGCTGGGTTGGGGAGGGAGTGGGGGAGGTGTGGGGGAGAGTTGGGGAGGGTGCACGAGAGGCACAGCACAGGTTGGGGAGGATGCGAGGGAGAGTTGGAGAGGCTGCGTGGATGTGGGGGACTTACCCCAGCGACTTGTGACCTTCCCTGCCGCTTCCCCATTTACTTTCTGTGGAAGCTAACAGGGAAGGTTGCAAATGGTGATCACATAATTGCAAGGGTGCTGGGACGGCTGGAACTCTGAGGATCAGTCATAACCACCATTCATTCAGCACCTATGTAACTTTGAACAGTCACTGAACGAATGGTCATAGGTCAAGGACTACTTGTATTGAAAGGAGTGTATTGCTTGTATTCACCTGTTGACTGTGATTATGTTTTGTGTTTAATATGGTTTTTAATAGTGGTTTTAGAACAGTTATACATTTGTTATTTTTACATACACAAACACACACACACACACACACACACACACACACACAC